TCTATCTATCTATCTATCTATCTATCTATCTATCTATCTATCTATCTATCTATCTATCTATCTATCTATCCTGACCCAAACCCATTTCTGAAGAAATATGGATATTGCGTAAAACATAAATACAAAGACTCTTCGTTTATAAAACCATGTTGTTGTAATACATGTTGTATTAGAACAATCTTGGTGAAATATTCAAGAAAGTTCCCTATGTTCTAAAACCAGCATATACCTTATCTGCATAGATAGTGCCTTTCCAGACACGTAAGCTTGCCCATGCCCTGGAGGTAGGAATACATCCCTATACCATTAGAGAGGCAGGCTTTTACACTAACAAATCAAACAGTTTTCTTGTCTTAAATATGAAAGACGTGACGTCCGTGGTTTTTCCAAGGAATTTCAGTGTTAGAAACACTTTGCCTCAGTTCATTTGAAATGACCTTTGGACCAGAGAAGACAGCTGTGATTTTATCTTACCTAAAGAGAAACCCCCAACCCTAACCTTGACCATGGTCCACTGTTTGGTGTTCTGGGATACAAACTGATTTCATAATGGTGGTATGCTACAAAAACTTAAAATGTAAAAAAAATAATAATAATAATATTAATGTGAAATTTCAATAAAACACCCATAGTGAGAGAAGGATTTCAAATCAGTCACATTTATTGATCTGTTTATACACAGGTGCTAAGTAGCTTGTTGCGCTCTAGCCGTGGGCTTTAATAAGATTTACTACAGGATTTTCACAATGCTTACTAAAAAATAAATACAAGACAAAGTGTTCCACAACTYAAAAATATACAAAAGATTGAAATCTATGTAAACTTTGAAAACGTGTTTTTACAATAGAAACAATCAGATAAGTTCTGTGACAAGATGTTGTATTTACAAGTTTGTACAAAAAACACACCTACAGTACATTTTATAGAGGTTGAGTCGACATTAAACGCATTTAGTACCATGAATTTTACCATCCGATTTGTGTTTTCAGGAACGTTTCAGTCAAAAAATATTAAGTAAAAAAAAAAAAAACAGCTCAATGCCACAAACAGGTCCCTGTATTTTTTCTAGCCTTTGGTGGAAAAATATGTTTGCCACTTCCAATAAAGTGTATCAGAGTGAAAAAGATGCAGGAGAAGTTAAACAGCTCAAGTGTAAAAGACTATAAATAACTTTAGACACGACATGCAGCAAGACTCCTCTCAAACACAGACAAAGAGAAAAATAAAGGTTTGTAGGTTTAAAGGAAAAGTTTGGACACTGAAGTTTATGAACAACTAATATTTTAATATCTTGTTGTAGCCTGTTAAACAAAACTCATTAGATTTCAGCYTGACAGAACTGATGAGCTAACGGTTAGTTCGGAACACCCAAGCTGCCAGTTTACACTAACTCCAAATGTAAAAGTTTTATTGAAGTTTATGATTATGTTGTTTTACAAACRTCAATTTGTCTTTACATGGTCACTAATGGAGGATTTTATGTTTGAAGAAACAGAGTTTACATCAGACTGGACTGATGAGCAACAGCTAGCTCCTAAACAATACAGCAAACTATCTCATGGAGCTAATAAAACTCCCAGAAAGTAAAAACTGAATGCATGTCTGCGACTGAAGAGTCATTCTGATTAACGTCGTCGAYGTGATTAACTATGACATAAAATGTTGGTGAGGATGTCTGTTAGCAAAATATCTAATAAATCACTGTAAAGATTATAAAGAAACTTAAAAATTAATCACTGGATGCATGATTACAACTGATTAACTTCTGGAATCATCCTCATTAAGTCTAAAAGCACTACGTTGAGTTGGGATGGATAAAGAACTCATACGAGTGGAGGCCTTCTAAGTGGGTCCATCTCTCTCCCCAAAGAGACACTGAGCTTTAATCAAACCTTCTCGTCCCTCGTATGAAGGACACCAGGTTAGAAACACTCAGTGTTCTGAGCTTCTCAGCATCCATAAAGTTGTCCCCAAGAATTAATTTCCTTTGACTGCTCAGAGACAGGCATCACATAGATCACTGTCATGGAGTCCCATCACCATGTTGTGGAGGTTGAGCAGATTGTGCTTAGTTAGGACTCCAACCAGTGTACTTAGAGTTTTCCTTGTCAGGGAGATGAGAGCTTTCCCAAACCTTAGATTTGTGCCATTAATCAGTTCCTGTGCCTGTCTACAGTCTGTCAGCTCTCTCCAGAGGATTGAGTGTTGAGGGCAGTCCTACAGACTGTTGTTGAGGTACCTACAACAGGCTCTCTGGTCTATTGAAGTAAGCCTGACTGCCAGYTCTCTCATTACCATTAATACCAGCATGTCCTGGTACCCATTTAACAGTAACACTGTTATCTCTCCCCATTTGGTTGACTGCTTCGGCACATTCCCAAGCCAGTAACGATGTAAAGTGTGGCCCTCRGAGAGCTCTAATAGCAGCTTGGCTATCTGTTAGGATGAATATTTCCTTCTGTGTACACTGAAGGTCTTTGAGAGATGCCACACACTGGTGGATTGCATATATCTCAGCTTAAAACTTAAAATATATCTTGAAACTTCAAAATGTATCACTGGATGTATGGTTACAACTGATGAACCATCCTCATTCAGTAGAAAAGCACTGAAACAAGCTCCTTCAAAATGTCCAAACTAGTCCTTTAACTCACCGTACCTCTGTTAAATGWTATTACRTAATGTGTTGGCTTTGTGGGTATATTTAACATAATGGCTTCAAGAAGTCAGTCAGATTTGCATAATATTTGAAGAACCATCACTACATTACAAACAAAAGTACTTTAAAAATATATGTACTATAATACGTGGGGCGAACACTGACCCAGGGGGCATCAATTAAACCTGAAATCTTGTGTGCAGCTTATTTCATACTAAGTTTCAAGATAGGTTTGTCTCTGCAAACACAATGAGTGTATCTCATTAAAAAAATCATTTCTAATTAATAAAATAAGTTTGAATAAAACTCGTTATTAAAAATATCAGCAGTTGGCTGTTCATATTTCAGATTTAGGTTGTTTAAACCAAACCAGAGGATAGACTGAGACTTTCTGTCAGGTAGAAAAATAAATACATTCAGTTTGTTTTGTGACACAGAAGACGTTAAAAGTTATATTTTTGATGGTGGGGAGGGGGCATCTGGCACAAAAACAACTGCAAATGCCGAAATCCTGACCTGCTTTTTCTCCAACACAATAACCTAACTTTGTGTCTAATATCCTCCACAAAACAAACACTTTTGCTTTGTCTCTTCTTGTTTCCTTTCAAGTAAAATAAGGCATTATTTATTCCTCCTGAGCACTTTCCACTCGCCTCTTTATGCTACTCCTAAACGCACCAAGTCAGCAAACCAGAAACAACCAGAGATTTTTTATATACAACCTTCTTTTTGTCTCTGTGATTTCACCTCCTCCAGCTTTTAGATCACTTGTTTGTCTTTTCTTACACCTGCTCCTTTCATGTCTCCACAGAYGGTCAGGTGGGCACTTCCTGTCTCACTTCACTCAGTTATTGTGTGACAAATCTACCACGTTGRATCGTTCGGCCTAAATCTGATCAAAGGTTTAAAAACGAGAAACTAAGAGGGATTTGGTATGTTCTGATGGACGAGGAGCAAAAACAACTTAATACGTCACAAGGCTTCGAGAAATAAACAAGCTGTGTCTAACTGCATAGGTATTCACAGAATACGACGTTAAATATCTGATGCCAAGTTTAACTGGAGGAAAAAATCAACAGCAAAAGTGAAAGGTTGAAAGAAAGTATGGGGCTGCAAGTGTAWGATGAAACGTTTAAAAATTTCACTAACATATTTTTCATTATTTAGCTCACTTTTTGAGTTAAAAAAATTTACGCTAACATTTTATTCTTATGTAGCTCAGTGTTCTAACATTTAGTTATTTTTTTAACTAAATGTTTCATTTAAATGTTAAAATACATTTAAATATTAAATCCTACATTTAAATGCTAAGTAATGCTATGTTGAAGTTCACATTTAGGTATTTTGGAATGGAATGCAGCCTTTGCTGTTATGACATCATCATCCTGAGACAATAGCAACCGTTAGCGCTCCAATGCAGCTAAAGCTTCCCTACAACACATCTAACTTGCAGTTATGGCTGGTGTCTGGGCTGCACTTCAAATGCTGGACCACAGGGACCACCATATTGTTTTTATGAACACATTTTGAATTTAGATTTTAAATATTATCTTTAGCAGTGTTAGAAGTGGCTAGCGGTGGCCATTGTTGATGTTTGTCATCTGACGCTAACTTCTGCTAACACTTATAACACTACTGAAGATAAAATATCAAATCTAAATTCAAAATGTGTTCATAAAAAACAATATGGGTGGTACCTGTGGTCCAGCATTTGAAGTACAACTCAGACACCAGCCATAACTGCAAGTTTGATGTCTTGTAGGGAAGCTTTAGCTGCATTGAAGCGCTAACGGTTGCTATTATCTCAGAACGATGACATAGGCTGCGTTCACTCCAAAATACCTAAATGTTTACTTCAACATTTAAGGTTTAACTTTTACATTTAGTTTTAAACACTTACATTAAGCATTTAATTTTCAACTATATTTTTTAACATTTAAATTTAAGATTTAGTAAAATTAGCTAAATGTAAGAACAGTGAGCTAAATAATGAAAAACATAACATTTCATTTTACACTTGGCGCCTCATAAGAAAGAGCTGAAAGGAAGGCAACAAACTGGGTGGCTCAATCATGGCTTTTACAAGGATAACTTTTAAAAAAGATCACTTTAAAACTATTGTGCTCTGAGTTGGGAGTTTTTACGAGCTTATAAAAAGATATTTTCCCTACAAAATACAAATGTAAAAATAGTTTGGTTTCTGACTTGTTTTATGAAGTTTCTGTTTCAGTAGTAAATATTTTTTTCTTTAAAAATATAGATTGTATAAAACAACATTTAGTGGAGAAAATGATCCAAAAGAAAGTATTCGGATGTATTTCTTATTATTTCAGCTCCTGCTTTCTGCTTCTATAAATTATCTTTTTTTCTGGTCTGTTAGTTTTTGATGTAAACATATTTAATGGTTCCTCCTTTGTTCTGTTTTCTACATGGACCCCTGCGACGAGCAGTCATCGTGGGGGCTTCCGTCTGAGTTTTCCGTCTCGCCCTCAGAAATAGCTTGCATGGGGGCTGAGTACAGTCTGCTGCGGCTGCTGTAGCGGCTGCTGCTGGCGGGTGGCGGGATTCGGGAGCGGCCCTGCCTGGAAGAAGGAGACGCGAGGAAGGATTTCGGGGAGAAGCCCTCGGAGTTTGCTTTAGGGTAAGGGTTGAAAAGCTGGTCTTGTCCCGACTGGAGCAGCTGCAGGGGGGAGGCGGGCTCCTCTGACTGCCTGGGGGACTCCRTCATAGAGTCTCCGGGTGATTTGGAAGTGATGGGACTCTTCAGGATCTCTGCAGCCGACATGCGGTAACTGGAGTCGGAGCGGCTTCCCTTTCTGAGCAGCAGCAGTTTGAACTCTTCGCTGGAGGTGCTGGACTTCTTTGCGTTCCTGTAGATGGGACCCGAGACTCGATGCGAGCCGGGCGGTGTGGCAGCAGGGGAGGGCGATGCAGCTGAGGCYGGGGAACCGACGCTGCTGTTGGACAAAATGCTTCCAGACGAAGCACTGAGGCGGTTCCTCCCAGCCATCTCCGTGGAATCTTTCCTCCCCAGTAATTTCCTCTTGGACCTGTGGGAGGACGACATTTCTGTGACCATCTGCGTAAACTAGGAGGGGAGACAAACAAACACACATCAGACACACTCACCTGTGGATCATAGCAAACAGATCCTCGGTGGTACGGGACTTGGTGGGCGACAGGAACACGTCATCCTCTGGTTTTGATTCGTCGTGCAGCGCAGACACAGAGTTCTCACTGGCTGTGGAGTCTGCTAACAAACATTTAACAGCTTTTAGCACAATGCCTACCATATTTTCTACAACCTGGTTAGATCCCAAAGAGACAGTTTGGATTAATCTTGAAATGGTCGTTATCTCTGAACACTATCATAGCTGCAGTAGAACCAGTGGGAATAGAGACCTGATAAAGAAACATCGTTGATAAAGTGTCTGATTCAAAAATAATGTGTAAAGACCAGATATACTGATTTCTCCACAACCTTATTTTCCCATCAGTTACTCTACCTCATATGTGTCAAACTCAAGGCTGGCGGGCCTAATGTGGCCCCTCATGACATTTTATGTGGACTAGAACAGCTTCAAAGATGTATTAATGACATAATCAAATATGCTGCATTAAAGCCAGCATTAACCATTAACTACATCTCCCATAATGTTGATTATTTTACTCGCTGCATGACGGCATCTCACCAYCAGGTAGAGCTGCACAGGATTCAAAAGTTGCCAGCGAAATTTGCCGTGCAAATTTAGATGCATTTTTTCCGGCTACAATTGCTGTGGCCCTGTTGTACTGGGAAGTGGGAATTCCCCATTTAAATTTAAACTGGAACTCCAGTGGGAATTCCCTGTCAGAAAGTGGGAGAGTTCAGAATCCAAGATGGCAGCTACTCACCACAACTCAACAGTGAGTAAAACTCTCTTACTTTTAATTCTAATAGTATTTCTGTATTATTTATTTCACATTTAGTCAGTCATACACGTAGTACTTTTCAGTGTTTGTAAGAGGAYGTGTTAAACACTGTTTCTATGCAGGAAATACCAGGTAGAGCTCAGTTATTGTTTGTTAGTGGTGCTCAGTTGTAGCAGTGAGATGAGGAACGTAGTGTTTTGTGTTTAATCAAAGATAAACATGAAACACTGAAGTTAATTACAGCTGGTCTTTTGAAGACCATCATAATGCTCATGTGTTCCTCTGTGAAAATAAGTTCGACACCCATGCTCTACCCAGTTAAACTTTGTATATTTTGTTTGTTTTATTAATTATTCTTTTACATTTTAACATTTCTCTTTATGCTCAATTATTCATGTTGATAATATTAGCATTTTTTGAATCAGACGTTGGGATAAAGCATGAGTGATTGAGATAAAGTACCTCTGCAGACAGAGTCCTCCATCTCCTCTGTAGATTCATCTCTCCAGTCCTGTGAGGCACTTTCGGCTGAAACACCCGATGAATCGTTTTCCACTTCAATGCTGCTGTCGTTGCTGATTGAGCTCTCCTGGGATGTCTCCAGGTGGCTGTCAACAGCAGGCACATTATCCAGACTGCTGGATCTCTTGGGGGAACTGTGCAGAACGGGAGGGGTGGGACACATTTCTTCTCCGGGCTGTTCGCTGCTTTGCTGCAGTGACAGCTCTGGATGGGAGTCTCCGGAGCAGACGGATGTTACCGGTGACTCTCTTTCATGACCGAGGAGTGTTTCAGGAAGGTCTAAACATGATTCTGAAGTCAGCCCATCAGCTGTGGTCTCTACAGGGGCCTCTTGATCCTGGTTGTGGCTCTCTTCAGACGTGAGCTCTTCGTTTGAGGTAAACACGGATTCACTCAGCTCTGTTATGAGTTTATCATGATGATATGAGTTGTGTGGAGACTTAGTGCTTGTGAAATTAGGAGAATGACAAAATGTTTTGCTTTCRTCCTCCCGCTGCTTGTTGGTGGGTTTCAGCTGGACTGAGTGCAGCACAGAGGGTGTAATGGACAGAGCGTGGGCGCTGAACACCTCTACAGGTTTGGATGTGACTTCCTCTTTTAGCTTAACGAGAGAAGTGTTTTCAGTCTGGGGCCTGAAGGCTGAAGCCTTGTTAACTCTGTGAACCACACTGAGGTCCAGGTGAGAAGGAGGAATCACCGGCAGCTCCAGGTCTCTCTTCGAGGCCGCCCCACCCTTGGTGGAGTGTGAGTGCAGAGACCGTGACGAAAGAGAGGACTTCCTCTCTGGGACTTTGGGCTTCCTCTTGCCACCCGCAGGCGACAGCGGYCCGGGGAAAAAGGTGGAGGGGAACGAGGAGGTGGGGGTTTCTGACTGACTGGAGTAGCCRCTGGACGGGCTCGCCAGGCCCGCCAGCTTCTCTGGGGAGGTCAGCTTGAACTCTCCTTCTACGGATGGGAGGGAGGGGGTGGTGGCTCTGGAGCCGGGCTGGGACGTCTGGGACTCGGAGCCTTCCTGTGACTTGATGCACTCAATCACAGTCGTCCCGGTGGCTGTGCTGGAGTTCGACAAGGATCGGTAAGGATCGCTGGACTTTAAATCATTAAGGAGCCACAGATCTGCATARTCTGACTGCACAACACCTTCGTCTTTAAACGATTGTGTATCTTTGGAGTTTAATACATCAGGTAGATCGGTGGAGCGCTCCACTCCCCACATCACAAGGGGCTCTCTGAGTAACGAAGAGTTTTCTACGTAACCTTGTGAGCCGAACAGAGCCAGCTGCATTTTCCTCTCCCTGGACAAGTGAGGAAGCTGCTGCCTGTGTGTAATCTTTGGTTTGCTCTTGTCCGTGATGTTCCCGTCGCTGCAGATTTTTCTTAAAGAGGAGCTCCTCTTGGGCGGAGACGGCTTTGCCTTTGGTTTCCTTAAGGAGAGGCAGCGTCTCCCCAGAGTCAGGTGACCGCTGATGTCAGAGAGAGCGTAATCAGAACCAGAGGGTGCATAGTTATATGTGAAGCTCCTGCTCCCTTTGAGACCGCAGTCGAAGTGCATGGAGGTGTAGTAACCTTCCGTGTCCACAGAGTAGTGTGAGACAGTGTCCGCCTTCTCCGACGGCGGCTTGTCGGAGAAGCTGCTCTCGCAGGTGGCCATGCTGGTGAAGCTAGGACAGCCCAGGCTGCTCTCRGCCTCTCTGCTCGGCTCGGGGCTGAAGCCCTGAGAGTGAGAGGGCTCTGCAGGGGGGTAGCCCCAGTCCCCCTCTGCGGCTGTGCTAACTCCTACTTCCTCTAAAATATCCATAGCTGTTGAGGAGAAGGAGCCTGCCCGCTGAGTCCTGAGACCCTGGTAGTGGTCCGACGTGAAGCTGGTCTGCTCGTCGTTGGCGTGGGGGGCAGCGTTCAGGGAGAGCTCGGAGTCACAGTGTGAAGAGCCGGTCAGAGGCGGGGAGGCTGCAGTCGGGATAGTTTCTGATGTCTGAGAGGGGCATGTAGAGTTGCTCCCACTCCAGTTCCCACTGGAGGACTGGTGCTCGTCCTTGTGGTCCATCTGACCCGCCAGCCCCCCCGCGGCGGAGACAGAGTGGATGGGGCTGCTGAAGGTATCGGAGCTCGACGAGATCTCACAGCTGCCCATGTTCCTGGGCAGCTGAGCTCTCGTTCGYTCCATCCACCGGCGCTCTGGACTCTCAGACAGCTGCTTGTACTTCAGGTCCCCCATGGCCTGGTCGTCGGTACTCTCTCCTTCGTCCTTCAGAATCCTCTCCCTCTGTCCAGGCAGAAAGGCCTCGGTGGAAAATGGGGAAAGCTCCTCGTCATCGTCGCTGTCATTCTGCCCGTCGTCCATCATCCTGCTGCTGTCTCTGGGCAGACTAYGTGAGCGCAGGTGAACAGCGACCGAGGTGGTGAACATAGTGTCAGCGCTGTCCGACAAACACAAGATGTTTCCTGCCGAACGGGACTGTAAGAGAGACCCTCCCTGGCCTTTGTGAACCCTGATCCTTCTCCGAGATGGTGCTCCTGAGATCAGAAAATCTTCTGTCTGGCAGCCTGAGTCTCTGGTGTTGAGATGGCTGGACAGCTCCTCGTTGGATGGGGTGATATCTGGGGAGACATGAACTATCACCGTCCGCTCCCTGGAACCAGGAGAGTCATCAGAGTCTGGGGGAGGAAAGAAGTTTACACATGWGAACTGATCACTTATAACCTGGTTCCTAAACTCAGATCAATGTTTTAAACTATGTACTTATATATTTATTTACCCATTGACACATTCACTCAGCACTATCACAGCTCTCTACAAAGCTAACGTACAAATCTATATATGGAGACTAAGCAGTGCTTTAAATCACATTCATACACTGATGGGACACATATCAGAGACGGGGTGAAGTGTCTTGCCCATGGACAACACTTCAACGTACGACTGGGGGAATCAAACCACCAACTTTCTCACTGGAGGACCACTGCCCTAACCACTCTGCGGTGGGCACAGCTAATCAAAAAGTTATAACCAAGGTTATAATAGTTTTGAATTTTTCATTATAGTTTAGTTTTATTTCGTTATGACTTTTTTCTTTTAATTCAGTTAGTTTTAAAGGGGCAATATCATGTAAAATCTACTTTTTTGAGTTTAAATCATGTTATGTTATACTCTCATAAAAAACATGCCCAAAGCCTTGCTTTGACTCATTCATGCATGTTTGAGAAATCCTGCAGCGTTTTTAGGCAGGATTTCAGAAACGCTTCTGGGATGTGTCTTTAAGCCGAACAAACATAAACAAATACTTGTTCTCAACAGTGAGACTAATACAGGYWGACACAAAACATACTAAAGATGCTRCAYGGCACGCACACACAAGGCACATGACGCAGGTGTTAGGGGATAGCTACTTAATGTCGGCKCCAAACATTTTGTTGCAATCATCTAAAAGACAACACCAGACCACCCAGATCCTATCCCAGCACTTTCTGTTGATAAACAGTAAACCTTGTTGTTAGCCTACTTTACTTGTAGCATTTATGCTAGCCTCATACAGYGTTCTACTGGAGTCGGTCACACATACCGTGATATTACTATCTACTGTTCATAAATATTAAACATCACCATTAGGTTTATTTGATCAGTAAAGAAGAAGTGGCTGTTTTTATATGCCCATGGGGACCGTGGATTGACTTTCATTCATTTTCTGGTAATTTTATATCCTARCCCTGACCATTTAACCCTAAAACTAACCTCACRGGTACGTACCTGACCCAAAAACTGACCWAAACGCAATTCACCCCATGGTCCTAAACYCAACCCCCTACCCAAAATTAKCATTCGTACCTGTGGGGACMAGGTATTGGTCCTCACGACATGCATTAGGTCTCCATGAGGCTGCCTTTTTCTGGAAAATGGTTCCCATGATGTAGCAAAAATGTGCCCACACACACACACCCACACACACATATATGATAAACCATTAGAGACCAGTAATATACCTTTTTAACAATTACGCTCATTTTCCAAGCCTGCCAACCTTTCAACTGAACTTTCCTGTGATTTCTGAAGTCTGTACGGTTGTTTGAGAGAGCAGCAGATAATGTGAGACATTATGAGTGGAGATAGCTATAACAGTTTCCAAAGTCATTAGCTGTGTTTCCATTGCAAATGTGTGCAAAACTTTGTTGATATTCTGATAATGTCAAAAAAACACAGTTTCGCAATTACGGTGTTTCCATTAAGTAAGAAATGCTATTAAAGTCACGCGTGAATACATTTGTTCTCGTGACACGTCATTACAAACATGGCAGCACCRGATGTAAACACATGCATATTGCTACCACGACACTAACACTCATCATCAGCCATCAGAGGAGACGTCTGCGTCTTATCCAGGCTTTCGAGCAACAAGCCTCTTATATTTGGGAGTGGCTACGTATGCAGCGTTTTTGGCAAATTGTTGTCGGTGAGTTTACTACTTTCTTTTACAACTTCAGTGATTTTACTACTACTTCTGCTTCCTCTTGTCTTCTTCTTCATCGTCTTTTCCGCCAGTAGAAACAGCCGGTTCTAGATCAAGTAACTCGTGATGCAAAAAAGTGTTTTAATTGCAGTTTTACTAAATACACCAATTTCAATAAGGCCGAAAAACCACCTCATCCTAGTGCAAAACCATTTAGTTGAAAAAAGGAAGTTTTTTTCAAAATTGACTGTTTCCATTGAGCAAATTTATTTTCAAAATTCTAATTTGCACATTTTCATGGTCAACAGAAACACTGCTAGTGAAAACATTAATCTGCCACTTACTTGCTGTGAGTAAATCAGTTGAACTGGYCACACCACTGGGTTTACCAAGATTATAACAGTTCATCAATGTCTTTTTATGTTTATGATTTTATTATATCATATTTAATTGTTGTCTTCTTTAAATAAATCATTATTTACTACATACTACACAATACCATGTTATTTAAAAAGCACTTAAAAACAACATGGCTGAGCAAAGTCCTGTAAATCTCAAGTACATTTAAACCAAAACAAAAACCCAAAACACACAAATCTGGACAAAAAAGAAAAATAAATTGTTGCTAATAAYTCTAGTTGGTACTTTTTTCTGTGGTCTTCATTGTTTCCTCCTCTCTGGCAGCTCAGTATACAACATCCTTCATCCAGTATATTCTGCACACATCCAGACCCTCTGATAAACTCGTTTCTAATCCCGTTCATTRAGGTCACTACCAATAAAATCCTAACATCGTCAGTTCTCCCACCTCTTGTTTTTGTTAGTTTCACTGTCTCCAAATCAAACAATTTGTAAACCTTGTCTTTTATTCTTGTAGCATCCATATGTCCCAGATTACCTCCACCTTCCTAGACTTTTCTTCTCCCTATTCTCWCTATAGATGTTGTCTGCAAACACCATCATCTATGACTCCTGTCAGACTTAATCAGAATGTAATTCAAACTCTCATTCATTTTCTTTCCTGTAAACTGAAGCAGCGTGTAAAACATTACAGCAAAAGCATGAACCCACAGCTTTACTTTGATGACAGTACAGTAGTCGAGGGAAGTATTTTTCAGGCACACCACATTGCTGTCTGACGAGAAGAGGTAAAATAATAACAATAAACAAAATAACCCACCTAAATCCTGTTGCACCTGTCTGGGAAAGCCAGCGACGGTCCTCCGTCTCCTCAGCTTCCGTCTCCTCTGAAGCAAAGACTGGGAGTAAACGAGTGAGCAGCGCACACTGGCATCTCTGTCGAAGCCAACCCCTGCAACCGAGACAAGACATGTGAGGGGTCTTTGTTTGCTGGCAGTGACAGAGTTTCTTTCTTTAACTTCCACACTGTCATAAAGAAGGGAAAAAAGCTAATGTGACAGTCGAGTGAACTAAAATAGGCTCTTTACAAAAATAGCATCTAGAAGAGGTGGTTATAGATCTAAAGAGACATAAAGCTGTAAGATGATTGGACTCAATGCTTTTTATAACTAACATTAAAAATGAACAAACAAATGCAAATGACAAAAAATATTGCTGTGTTTAAAAAAACTAAAATACACCCTGCTCTTAACGCATGCATTTAATCTTCCTGCTGCTCCTGCATCAGTGACCACCATGTGACATGATACCTCGACTCAGGCCTTTCAGCACCATAGCAATCACAGGACTTTGCTTACAATGTGCATTTTTTTAATCCTCCACTGTCTCTGACCCAGGCTGAGCTGATGTACGGCTGAGCAGATGAGAGCCACAGTAAATAACATCAAGCCGATCTTTTCAGCAGTTTGAACAAAACTCATTGGCATTCACGTCACAATATGTCCCCTCTTTGCAACTGCAGGCACAAAGTGTCAGAGCAGGAGAAACACAGCAGAATGCTGTGAAAACAAAAGGAAACAAACTAACCTGGCCTTGCAAAGCAGCAGGTTGATCTCTAAATCTCTTTTCTTAAACAGATTTAGAGTCAATACTTTAATATTTTAAATGAGAAGCTGCAAGTTTTGGTCATTTTGTACACAAACCTATCATCAGGATGAACCCATCATGAGTCTGTTTGTACTTATWAAGTTTTTGTTTAGAATATGATCTGGGATCACAGAAAAAAATAGAAATGATCATGACAAGAGTTGAGGATCCAAAATTTTAGCCARCTGCATTTTTAAAATGATCRTTATTATTAACCTTTATTTGACCAGTGAGATCATGGTTCTGTTTTTAAGCGAGGCCTGGACCTGAAGGCTGCCTGGCCTGTGGGAGGAAACCAGGGTACCCAGAGAAAACCCACACAAACATGAGAACAACATATAAACTCCATACAGGAAGACCCCAAAGTGGGACTGAACCATTTTTGCTGTTTAACCACTTCATTGTCATGCTGCCACATTTTTAAATGAAGTTGAGAACTTGGTTAAAAATAGAGACAGGATAAAGATCTGTCTGTTTGTCTTTTGTGAGACAGACAAAACACCAATATTTTGATGAATATTCAGAATTCATAACTCAAACTACACTGCTGGACAATAACAACATTTCTACCTGGATGTAACTAAGGTCTATGATGTGGGGTTACTGCAGGTGGTCAGGTCCAGGTTCAGCAACAGTCTGTGCTCAAAGAACGAGGTCAGCTGACCACCTGAATATACTGAATGACCAGGTTATTCCATCAATGCGTCGTTGATAACAATGCCAGGATTCATAGGGCTCTTATTGTGAAAGAGTGGTTCAGGGAGCATGAGACATCATTTTCACACATGGATTGGCTCCACAGAGTCCACTGAGAATCTTTGGGATGTGCTGGAGAAGGTCAGGCTCTACCATCATCAGTGAAAGATCTTGGTGAAAAAGTAATGCAGCACTGGATGAAATAAATCTGGTCACAATCCTGAAGCTTATTGAAACAATGACACAGAAAATGTGTGCCGTAATCAAAGCTAAAGGTGGTTCAATAAAATATTGTGATCCCTTTTTTTTTTGGTGGCAACATAATTAACT